AAAATGTAAAAAATCATCCAGCTTATATCAATTATACAGTTATAAGTTTAAAATCCAGCACTGCCAATACATATACAGTGATGGAATGGTCAAAATTATACTTTTTATAGAAAAGATTCAGTCTGCTTTATGAATTCCATAAAAGCCAGACTGATTTAAGCACCAGTTTATCCTAGTCATTTTCTAAATTTTAATTTCAATCTATCTTTAATATTTAATTTCAATCTTTCAATTATTCAATTATGTATATTCCACAAATTAATAATTTTTAAAAAATAAAATGAATAAACTATTGCAATTTAGACATTCCAAACATATACACATGAGAAGTGAAGTTTAGCAACAAATCTTTTGCATTGAAACTGTTTGCAATAACTGTTCAATATATTTAATAATAAAATACTAATACTAAAACTCTTGACCAGCCTAATTAATTTACCTTATATAGCCCACGTATGCCTTCATACTTGTATATTTTAATAAGAGCATCCAACATCCCTTTATATTGCTTCTTTGAGAGGTCAGCACCGGCGTCATATTGTAACACAAGCCGAGTCTTGGTTACCCATATTGGGTTGGTAATACACAAAGTCATCACTCCTATCAAATATAATTTGAAAATCTTATCAGTGCTAGCATGTTAGTATTACAGAGAACTTCAAACATAATTTGAAAATTTCTGATTTATGTATCACATGGAATTTATGCATTCAATTTGCAAAAAAACTCAGTATACTTATGTAGCAAATATTTACCAAATAGTTTTATAATAATTATAATTATAATAATTATAATAATAAATCAACTTTCCTGGAAAGAAAATCCATTTAATACATGGATTTCAGTATAACTTGTATTGTAAAACTGGGAATACATTTGTGGTATCTTTGTATTGTGTTCAGGAAGTATGGATAAGAATTTGTAAGAAAACGTTAGAGAAAATAATCTTTAAAGATCTAATACTCAGCAAGTTGAGCATTTGTACTTTCAATAGGACAAAAAACATTTTTAGATGTTCAAAATTATTTTCTGAACTAATCCTATCAAAAACAAAGTATATCATATAGGCAGGCTACAAATAGCTCATATATTTCTTACCAGCTTCAGCTGCTGACACTAGGTGTTCAATTGCTCCAAGGTTTTCCATCTTATCCTCTGTCTTGTTGGCTTTAATTGCATTGTAGCTGAAGAATCAAATATGAAGATTAGAAAATCCATATTATTACTTGATATAGAAACATTAAAATAACCTGTTTAAGTAAAGTTGAGGCATTTTGGCTGTTAAGAAAAATATCAGTATATTATGGGAACATCAAAAACAACATGCAGACTTTTGAGTTTTTAAGAACTCTTTATCTACTTGCATGTGCAAGTTTGTGCAAGTCTAAATTTGCACACGTGTCACCTCTCTTGCAGAGCTTCATTGGTTGCCAATTTGCTTCTAGATCCAATACAAGGTGCTGATTATCACCTTTAAAGCCCTACGTTGCTTGGAGTCACGTATCTGAAGGGCTGTCTTTTCCCAATACATCAATTTGACTCACCAAATCAGGAAGGCAAGGTACGTTATGGGTCCCTTCCATCACGAATGTCTACCTACCAGGACTAAGAAAAGAGCCTATTCCATATTGGCTCCCTCCCTATGGAATGTCATTCCTGCACAGGTAAGACCTTGATACTATTTCAAAAGGGTTTGAATACATGGTTTTGTCAGTGGACCTGGGGATCCCAGGTTGATATGGAGCCCATCAAGCACATGTTGTTGCTGGGGGGAGGGAGTTTATTGGGTTTTCTAGTTGGGATTTTATTCTTGTATAGGCTGTTCAAGTCACTATCTGCCATATAAATTTAATACAAAATCTAGTAAAATTGTAATAATCCTCATTTTTGTTTATTTATCATCTTGCCTGGTTAGCAATTTTGGGAATTTGAATGTTTTCATGTCATTGTGTGATCCCAAGTTTGTGTATGGAATTCAGAATATAAACTCACCAAATATTGTCTTGAATTAAATAGCCATTTCACACATGCTCAGTTATTGTGAATAGCTTTCTTCAAACTGACCCTATGCCAGTGGCGGCGAACCTATGGCACGGGTGCCAGAGGTGGCACTCAGAGCCCTCTCTGTGGGCACATGCGCCGTCGCCCCAGTCCTAGGCCTTCAGCTGGGTTTTATAAAACCTTTTCACTTTAGGCCTCCGCCGCCATGTGCAAAAAAAAAAAAAAGGTTCAATCAGTCAATTTCAACTTCTTGTGGGAAAAAAAAGATCTTGCAAAGTTGAAATTGATTGAACTTTTTAGTCCCACCCAGTCTGCTGTTACCACCACAGCCACAGCCACCCAATTGGCCACACCCAGCCAATGGGCCACACCCACCCGGCACTTGACGATGCATAAGTGGGTTTTGGGTTGCAGTTTGGGCACTCGGTCTCTAAAAGGCTCGCCATCACTGCCCTATGCCCTTTCATATTTTGCTGTGCTTGATGGATAAGATATTGCCTGCTCTCCCTTACATGGGAATCTCCATATATTTGTGCCAAAGTAGGAGGTTTGGAGATGGTATTGAAAGTGACACTCCAAAGCCCCACAGATGTTGATATTTGATAATCTTATATTCAGTGGCCAATAAATGGGAAGGCAGTTTACACAACTGATACTTCTCTTCACTTCTTCCCTGTTGAAGCTCCTGGTAAGCTATAAATGTTTCCAGGTGATCAAGACACAATCCAAAACAGCAGTGCTGCGTTATATATAGATAGGAGCTATATAGTGTTTCAGATTTGGTTCTAAAAAAGATGTTTTGGAGAGAACATGGATGCAAACATAGCACGGTTTTCAATTCTAAAATGCAGCTTTATCTCTTCTTGGAAAAAAACTTAAAAGAGTTGCAGAGAGGTGCTATGTTAGTACCCTCACATGTTCCAAAACACCTTTTGGGGAGCCAAGTCCAAAACAATGCATAGCTCTAATACAGATGTGATGCAAAGAGAGAAATTATCTGAAATCATGGACAGGAGCTTGCAACATCCCTCACTACCTGCTTCTGCTCTCCCATGCAGTCTTGTATGATAGAACCGATAATCTTAGATAGGACTCCAACTCTCCAGAGAAGATCTTGGGGAGTACAGGAGGCTATGGGGAAGAGGAAAGGAAAATAAAAATCAGTTGCACAAGTTGCCTTTCAACCACTGTGCAATGATTCCTGACAGCTACTTTAGTGACTGAAATTTAAAAGGCCCCAACTGTATGAAAACTACTGAATGATCTAGGGCAGTTTTACCAAAATTGAGAAACACTGATCTAGTATTATTAGAGTTAATAAGAATAAGTTAAGCTTTTGCTATTGTCTGGGAAAGAATAATCCAAAGGAGCAGTATAGGCCACTGACAAGTATTAGATTAGTGCTGTAAAATCTTCCAGTTAAAGCCTAGAATAGATGGACAAAGTTAACATATTTGTTAATCTGCTATGGGAGAAGTGAAAAAATCTGGGAAAAAACCAAACTGTTTTGGGATTAACTGGGAGACATTTAAACAGTTTCAACTTACAAGAAAAAATACAGACCCCAAGAAGCACCTGCACCCCAAACATTTGGAGTCACTCCTTGGTACAGACCACGTAATCCTTCTTGTTTCCAGATGGTTGACAAACAATGCAAGATACCATTGTATTTTGGTCTCAGCTCCAAGCCATCACTCACTACACAAAAGAATTGGAAATTAGTTTGAAAACTGTATGCTCTTGAATCAGTGATCAATGTGATTCTCTTAGACTTAGACAACCACAGTATGTTTTTTCTCTCTCCTGATGAGAACAAAAGTCCAATTTCATGCATTATGTGTCCATAGGTTACACTAACAACCTCTTATTCCCCAATTCCTGGTGTCCACATCTCTTGCACAGGTAGAAAAAGCAGCTGATGTATCATCCTACATCTCTAAATTCATTTAACAGTAGAAACATCCAGGTAATAACAAAGATTTTCTTGGAACAAGATTTTTTATGCAGAAAATTCAGTATCTGGCCTCAAGCTAAAAGATTGTCTTAAATAGGTGCCTAGTATGTTAAAGTGGAATATTAACACTGAGTGCACCAAAGATCAGATTCAGTATTTGGTGATGTACATACAACATTAATGGGGAAGATAGGTGTACAATCGGGGCAGTTATCACCTGTCATATTAATGTAGTAAAATGAACAATTATTAGAATAATGATTTGTCTGCATAACTAGAATAATGATTTGTCTGCATAATTGCTAGAATAATGATGTAATGCCATAATCACTGGGAAAATTCACTGGGAAAGTTCTGTGTCAGTAATATGTGGCTAACCAAATGCGCATTGCACATGGATACTTTGTATGTAGCAAAACCTTCCATTGTATGCCCGTGAGAAACGATCCAAATGTATTACAGTGTATTACCATGTGTAGTCCCTTTGTTCCTAAAAGAAGGATAGTATAAAAACTGAAGCCTAATCCCGCCCTCCTCGCTCAGAATTGCCTATCTCTATATGCCTCTGAACCTGCGCAAATAAACCTCTCTGCTAAACCCCTCTGGAATTCGTAAGAGTTCTTTCGTTTTCCACAAGAATATCAAAGTCCTGTCAATTTCTAGTGAAGAGGATGCATAGAGTGACTAGTTCTTTCCTTTCTATCAAAGCAACCTACTTTCCCCCACAACGACCCTGGGCTCATTTAACGTCCGCTTCTTTGGCGGCGGGGAAGAAGAGAGGAGGAGCTCACCTGCGAAGCGGATCTTGACCAAGTCCAGAGGGTGCAGGATCAGCGTGGAGACAACGCCGCCGCTCACCCCGGCCAGCAGGTTCTCGTAGCGCACGTGCCTGAAGGGGGACTTGGCCGTTGCGGCCGAAGTAGCCGAGGGGGAAGCAGCAGAGCCCGCCAGCGTACTCTGGACGCCTGGAACGGCGGCGGAACTCATGAGAGGGAAGCAATGACAGTGAGGGGGAGCAAAAAAAGAGAGACCCCGCACGAGACCCGTAGACACTAGATTGCCCTTTGACCTCCCGGCCGCTTCCTTCTTATAGGCAGCAACCGACAGTCGCTCATAGTTAATTCTCCAATCACCCGGCAGCGTCTACAGCCGGGCCCTCCACGACGGCGGGACTAGTAGTCACGTGAGCGGCCGCGGCGGCCGGCTTCTTTTCCCTTTATCACAGAACTCGCTTTGCTTAAGCCCCCCCCCCGAGCCTCGGCCTGCAGTGGCGCCTCAATCCGGAAGTTCTTCTGGGAGTTTCTCCCTTTCCCACGTGGTGCGGCGGAGTGGCCGGTGTAGGGGTCGGGGTGGGGGCCCGAGGTCTTCGGAAGGCGAATTGACTCCCCGGCGCGGAAAATGAGGGTGAAGGTTCTCAGCAGGAACCCGGACGACTATGTGCGCGAAACCAAGCAGGACCTTCAGCGGGGTGAGCGCAGAAAGAGAAGCGGGCGGAGGAGGGTCGCTGCTTTGGAAACCAGCAAGGGCGCCTCACTCCAAGCTCCTAAATCAGTATTTCTCAACCTTGACAATTTTAAGGCATGTGGACTTCAATTCCCAGAATTCCACAGCCAGCATTGCTGGCTGTGGAATTCTGGGAGTTGAAGTCCACATGCCTTAAAATTGTCAAGGTTGAGAAACACTGTCCTAAATGTCTACAGCTTAATCAGAGTTCTAAAGCAGTGTTTCTCAACCTTGACCATTTTAAGGCGTGTGGACTTCAACTCCCAGAATTCCACAGCCAGCATTGCTGGCTGTGGAATTCTGGGAGTTGAAGTCCACACGCCTTAAAATGGTCAAGGTTGAGAAACACTGTCCTAAAGGGACCTGTTGCTTTCATGACCAACTTCTCGCCAGTTCCCGTCAAGCCGAGGAAGATTTCTACTTGGAGAATTAGCAGGCTGGATTTAGCCTTCCGACTGAGCCCTGATCTGTTTCTAGGTCCCGATTTTAGATAGCGAGGTGCCATCGACGGAGCTCAGTTCTTGGGGAGGGAGTCGCCGTAATTAGGATTGGAAAGATGGTGCATGTAAATTGAGAACCAGTTTGGTTGTAGTGCTTAAGGCAGGGGGTAGGCAACCTTGGCTCTTTTATGGCTCGTGGACTTCAAGGCTCTTTTGAGCTTACCAGCAACAGCAAGTGTACTTCAGTTAAACAAAACAGTCTTACCCTTTTTGGGTGGTATGAGAAGCCTAACAGGTATGACTTGAGATGTATTATAAATTAATTGTATTCATCCCATCATTATTCGAAGGCTTCCTGAGGTAATATTAGCTTTATCTACATGGCCTAGATCAGGGATAGGCAACCTTGGCTCTTTTATGAGTCGTGGACTTCAACTCCCAGAATTCCTGAGCCAGCATGGCTGGCTCAGGAATTCTGGGAGTTGAAGTCCACGAGTCATAAAAGAGCCAAGGTTGCCTACCCCTGCCTTAAGGTAGTAGGCTACAGCGCGGGAGTTCTGGAGCTGCTTTAGGCACAAAGTAAGCTGGGTGACTTTGTGCCACTCACCTTTTCTCAGCCCTAGAAAGGAAACAGAGGCAAACTACTTCTGGAAAAGCCTTGCCTACAAAACTTCTGGGACTTGTCCAGGCAGTCTCTGAAAATCGGACTCAAAAGAATATGCACACATTAAAAAAAATTGAGAAATGGATTGTAAAACTAAGGTGGAAAAAATATTTTCCAGGACAATCCTGGCTTACTCACAAAATACAAAAAGAGACAATCTTCATTGATGGCAATATGTTTGTTTATGTATTTTTCACTTTATTCTAGTTCCACGAAATTACGATCCTGCGTTACATCCGTTTGAAATTCCACGGGAATACACAAGGGCACTAAATGCAACTAAATTAGATCGTATATTTGCGAAACCTTTTCTTGCATCATTAGATGGTCATCGGGATGGAGTTAATTGCATAGCTAAACATCCACAGAGCTTGTCTACAGTTCTGTCTGGAGCATGTGATGGAGAGGTAAATATTACGTTTAAGATGACTGAAGCGTATGTTTTCTTAGTGATTGTTAAGTGTAATTATGAAAACTTTTCATGGTTTTGCTAAATGTTTGCAATGATGGTTAATATCTGTAGCTCAGGTTTAGGATGAGGGTGAAGGTTCGTTTCTGAGCTTGTGGGTTGGTTTCTGAACCTTATAAACAGAAGAACATTGACACTGATATCCCCTAAACTCCGCTGAAGATGTAGCCTGGTAACAAAACATTTGGAAAACAATCCACAAGTTCGGGAGAATGAAACTTCATCCTCATTTGCTAAATGTTTTCTTGTGACATGAGCAAGACTATAGACTTGCTTTAAGACCTTATGGCTACCTCAACAGGTAGGATTCTTTAGCTTACGGCTGCCAGGACTTTTGTTCTTGTTTTTTCCACTAATGTTGTTTTTTCCTAGAATACAGAACAGGAAATGTGTGACCTCTAAACATAATTTCAAGTTATAATAAAAGGGATTTGATAGCAATTTTTATTTAGTCTTCTAATCAGCATGGGAAGTGTATAGAGATTAAAGGCAATATTATGTGAACAATTCCCATGTTTTTCCCTGCTTATACCCCAAAAGATGTACAAATGTTTAGTTTTGAATTGGATTTGTTTCTATTTCAACCATGGAAATAAGATGTTAACTTTTGGAAAATTATCAAATTTCAGCCTTGGATTTCTGACTTGCAGCAATTCAAAGTCTTATGAAATCTTTGGAAAAACTAAACTATCAAATGAAAGTCTGTCAATTTAACCATTAAAAATTTTTCCTGATACTCTTCAGCTTTTTTAAATGTTTGTTCAACTCCCAGGATGATAGTTTGCTTCTGTTGTTAAATGCTGGTATATATTTAAATATTACCTATTTCTAGATTTCACATGAAGATATACATTATGAATTATAATGTTGTTGATTTTATAAGGTTAGAATCTGGAACTTGATGAAGCGTGTATGCATCCGTACATTGCAAGCACATGAGGGCTTTGTAAGAGGAATGTGTACCCGTTTTTGTGGCACCTCTTTCTTCACTGTGAGTATAATATTGGGAATTAAGGTGTGATATTTAATGCTTATTGTTGCTTTTTGCTATTTTTTGTGCTACATTTTGTTTAGCTTATAGTTTATACATTCTAGCACTTTTAGTCTACAATTGTTGGGAGCGACGCGTCGCTCCCATGTAACGCCGCTGCTGCGCGAGCTGCACTGGTTGCCAGTGGCCTTCCGGGTACGCTTTAAGGTGTTAGTTACCACCTTTAAAGCGCTCCATGGCATAGGACCTGGATACCTCCGAGACCGCCTTCTGCCACAGATTCCCTCCCACAGACCGGTACGCTCCCACAGAGCGGGCC